CTACTAGTCATGACTGGCATTTAAAAGCCTACAAACAATGGAGGGCATTTTGCAGCAGTATTGTTGAACACATGAAGCATCATACATTTCATCACAAGCTTATGTAGAACAAGGGAAAAATGTGGGGAGAGCTTCAAGAGAATGGGACAAAAAACAAACAAACAAACAGATGACCGAATGCAGTCCATAAGAAGCTGGCAACATTGTCTTTATTATTATATTGGTAGCTATGTCAATTTTGTCAGGAAAAGATTGGAACTTTCTAAAATGATCTGCTTCATCTTGGAAACATTGGTAGATGAGATCTGCATGGAGGACCTTTGGCAGGCAGGGTTAGGGGAAAATGGTTACTGCTGATCAGGATTGCGGATGCCTAGAGAAGTCTGGAGTGTTCCTTTGACTTCTCTCACATTGCTCAGAGTTCCTGCTTTACATCAGCTAACACAAAGGATTTTGTTTTTGCCTCTTGATTTTTGAACTGTGCAAATGTCCTTGTGGAGATACATGTTTGGTGTATGCATAAAGCCCTGATATTTTAAGAAGACAGTGGAGCGGTTTATGTACTTTAAAATAAACCAATAAATGGAGGACACTTTGAAGCAGAAGCTGGTTGGGTACAACACATGTATCCTTCTTTTCTATCCCTAGTGCAGTTTGGCATATTTTCTCTAATAAATAGGAGAAATGGTGGGATAAAAACATTGATGCAATTTTTTAAAAAAATGATCAAGGAAAGCTTTTACTGGAGTGATGGTGGTGGGGATGGGGTGGTACATGACCTGACGGTTGCAGTGATGTTCAGTGCAATAGTAAACTTTAACCAATATCTGAATGATGATGCTTGGGTTACCCCACAGCCAAAAGCTACACATTCTTTTTTTACAGCTGCTGCCCTGCAGAATTCATTCCATAGATAGCATATGAGTCAGAACAGGTATTTTATATTGAATTCTGGCTTACACATTTGCCTGCAAATTAAGTGTAGTTTTCATATATTTTCAGGCATTTGTGCCTAGTTCCCCCCCCTCATAGCTATAAGAATGTTTTCAATACATTTTGACTTCTTACTTTTTGAAGTATTTTTGTGCTTGTGGAACATGGAAAGCAATGTAGGTAAATAAAGTATGCAAAATTAGACAAGCTGATGTTGTCTGGAATATTGCAACAATGAAAAGACTTATTTATACCTGGGTACTCAAAAGAATTTTGATATGGCTGGAAATGAGTTTATTTCATTCCAGAATTAACTCTTAACTGGGATAAATGCCAGCTGTGACAGACACTGTCTCTGGTTTTTCCATAGAAGTTCTGTAGGGCACCAGACTCTATGAATTGACATGTGATTAGTACATGGAGGCATGCTCCTAATTTCAAATGATATCTCTCACTTCACTTGGTCTACAAACTGCCCTAATTCTTCTAGTATCTTCAGTTTCCAAGCCCATATAGATAGCTGCCCAGTCACCATATAATTGTACAGGATTAAAACATTATTTATGGTGAGGTGTCCCTACTTTAAATAACAGCTGAGATTACACTCTGACTAGGACTATTTCTATCAACAGACCTCCTGTGGACAATTGTATTTTTTTTCCTTGAGTCGATCAGGTCTTTGTAAGTTTTAGTACCATAATGCCCTCTGCTGGTTAGTTTTAAATAACAAGGCCAACTATGTTTCTTATATGATCATTGATTTCTTATTTTTATTCTGAAAGAAACATGACAGAAACCACTGCAATGCAGGCACACTCAGACATTGCCAAGAGCCATGCTCACCATCCTGTAATTCTGCGCAGACAGGGGACATTGGAAGGAATAACACCACTATAATTAGTCTTCTGACTTGCCATGAACCAACATATACTGTAGTTTCCTTTGGGAAGAAGGAAATATTTAAGACATTCTGGTGAGAAAGAGAAAGCATGGTTTTAAGATGAAAAGGTCTTTAGACAAGAGTTGGTTTTGTATGCTCTAGGGGATGATGAAAAGGCGTGTTGGTAATATTGGCTCAGAAGAACACAGCAGCACAACAAATGACATACCAGATCAGATCAAGGGCTGAATCTGGTTAATAATCGCAGCCAGAGTAGACCAGCTGAATATGTTGCATCTCGATACATCAACACTAATCTATGCTCCTTTGGCTCATTTGGCATACTCTACTTGGCACTAACAAGGAGTATACTCTAACTGGTATTAACAATTTAATTTGGGCATACGGGTCCACATATTTTAATGTCCTGTTTCCAGTAGCCAGATGATGCTGGGAACTTGAACCACCAAATGACTCAGGTTATAATCATCTACTAAGGGTTATCTCCAGAATCTGTTCATTCATGATATATTTAGCTTTTAGGCTGGCCACACACCCAGGGGGATGTGGTTCTTGTACCTTTTTGACTTGTTTGGTAGTGGGAATTACAGTTAGTGCAGCTGAAATTTCTACTTGTATGTAATTATTAAACATACAACTGCCCTGTATGCTTTTTCATGTCACCAACCTAGCAATGGCTAGTATTATGGCACCTAACTTTTCTGGGTCTTCAGAAATATATTTACACAGATATATGTTCCACTAAAACAACTGCAATTTACCTTGGGAAACTGTATTTACAGTGGGAAGAACAGGTCTTTCTTTCATGATTTTTCAGTGTGCTTATCTCCCCCATAGCTTTTATCTCTTGCAGAACTTGCAGCCGGAAGCAAGAGAGGTTCACCTCTACTTGACTTGAGTGCTTTTGGAATTCAACTCATCTATATCAGGAACTGACCATGAGCCATGCTCATGAAGCATAGCCAGTCTTTCCTCCCCAATTACTATGTGAAGTCTCTACCACATGCTAAAGAGCCCAATCTCTGCCCCTATCAAGCACAGCTAGTGCTATGCTGAGCTATTGTGGGCCTTGATTTTTGTTATAAATGTGGCCATTTCCCCCACACAAAATCTTCACTTCTTGCCTTCTGCCATTTTATCTGCCTGCACACAATATGATAAATCTGGCCCTGTAGAAAGTGGATGGGGAATGGATCCCCACTGCCCTGTCAAGCAAACCAATAGTCTCTGCTGTATTGCCACATTGTGCTGGCAATTTCACATGCAGGAACTTATCCAAAATGCGGTGAAAACAGCAAAGTGCAAACTTACGCATGAAAAATGTAAACATTATGCAAACTACCCATCCAGATGTTTAACTCAAGACTATAGATGCGTTTGTGTTCCAGTATAACATCAGGTATAAATAAATGAGCTTTTGGATCACAATCAGTTTAAAAGAAACACTTGTGTTGAGGACATATAATTTGGAATACTCCAACATCTGCTTTGGTGGATGCACACATTTTTATTCTAGGCTGTGTCTTTACATCTGCATCTTTAACTCAAGGAGGAAACTAATCATTCTGAAGAAGATACTGGGAACAAATGTTTATCATAGGGCTAGCACAAACATCAAGGGAGTATTCTCTGCTACAATGTTTTTCTGTCAGCAATACCATGTCCTTCATGGTGTGTATCTCTGCAACTTTACCTGCAAAAGAAGCTCTTTACATTTCATTAATCAATCATGCTTTTAACATTTTTTTAAAAATAAGTAGACTTCTTTCACCACATGAGGGAGTACTCTTTCTAGATACAGTATTAGCATCTTGTGTTATTTTGCAGAAAGAAGGGGCACTCAAAGAAAGAAGATAATATTTTTTGTCACTAGAATGGCATTCTACATAACTGAGGACAACATCAGAGAAAATGAGAAATGGGGGATTATGCTGTTCTGTATTTGTATAAAAGATGCTACCACGGCAAAGGAAGGCTGCAGAAAGCAGCAACATAAGACCCATTCACATTTTAGTCTTCACAAGGGTAGACATATTGAATTAATCACATTTAAATGTTATTTTAACAAGCTTTGTTCTTTTATAGAACGTGCTCTATTTTGGACTAACAATTGGATTTAGCACTTGACTGTAATCCATACTTGTTTGACTATAGCTAGGCAAATGGCATTCCATTTTGCTATTGTAATTAAGCTGTGTACACCTTAAAGTCCTGTAAAATTAATATAAAACTCAAAGCTGCTGAAGGAAATTTACTTACCCCTATGTAAAATAGAGATTATCGTCTTGAACCACTTCCTTCTTGAATATATGGGAATTCTAGCACAAATATAGATGTCTCTGCAACTGCTAATACTTCCATCATTTTCTTCAGTGGAGGAGAACAGTTCCATGACCTGATCCAGAAGCTGCAACACCCCAAGTATCAAAACGAACGGGAAAGTATGCAAGAGAACCATTTGCTCACTACAGCATTTTTGGAATGTTGGTTTCTATCCTATGAGAGAATCATCTGCACACAGAACCAAGAGGGGGAAGCAGCTTGTCCTGCATAAATTGTAGTTAACATGGACACACATCTTGCTTACCAAAGTAACAGTCTGAATGGGCTTTGGTAATTCATGTAGGAGTGCCAATATTAGTAATATTTGTGTTTCACGCATATGCATCTGATCAGCATCTAGTTTGTTATCATTCTGCACTTCAGTGTCATAAATCTGTTGTCAAGAAATGTCAAAACCCGCACCAGGAGCCTGACATGTAACACACAAGGATACCAGAAGCATGGGGTTTCCTCACAGTCTGCTCCTAAACCTCATCTCCAAGAGGTTAAATAGCACAGCCAATTGGTGCAAAGGCCAAGGTTTGGACTGCACGTGGCTGGAGCAGCCCAAGGGAAGTGTCTCTTCCTCCTCCTTCTGTGCCGCCTCTAATGGGTGAAACTGGGGCTGCTGAGAAGAAGGGACCATTTCTTTAACAGGGATAACAATGAGCTGTCACAGCAAAGAAAACTGGTGCTTCCAAAAATGATGTCTGGAAGACTAGATTTAACTCATCACCTTTCTTCCTATAGTTGTGAAGAACAAAATTAAGAGTAAATTACTCTCCAGTAAATCACTTAATTAGTCTGCTGATCATTTGCTGTAAGCAAAACAAAACAAGGCCACTCAACATTGTAAAAAATTTAATTATTCGGAATACTAACAAGCTGAATATTTCTACTTTGGTCAAACTTTAAATTCACCTCACTAGTCCCTCATGACTAGTACTTAAATGTGCATCACCATTTTCTCCACACTAGTTAACAATATCATACACATTACACTTTTCACATAGAAAATACAAAACAAACATGCATATTTGAGATGGTTTCCGCTTTTCTTATTGCCAAACAGATGCATATAATCACAGGCAAAGCCAAAATGCAACTAATGCTATGTTGACATATTTTAAACCTCAAAAATAAATAATTATATACAATGGAGGTGATGCTATGCCAACAAGAAAGCTAAAGATTTACATGAAAAAAAATGTGTCAGAGGAAACAGCACTACAAAATGTATGACAGAAGTAAACAATTTAAGATTACTACATGGTAGTAAAAGCAAAGAATATTCTTAAAAAGGCAAACTGCACATGAATCTAATGGTCAGAGAATAGCTGGGATTGACTCAGTTCTACTTTTTAATCTTTACTTAACTACTTAATTTTATTCATTTCTAATTATTACAAAATATTCTCCCTTCTTTTCCTTTATTCCTATAAAAACTTCTCACTCAAGCTGAAAATTGAGAAGAAAGGAATATAATGATATACAAATTTTATTGGTGCTTGTGTGTAAATGTTTCATCTTCCTGGAGAAGGTGTTTAACTCCATTAGACTCTAACATAATTATCACCAGGAATCATTTAGTTCCTATTCAGTCTGGCCAACAGCTCATCTGAGATGAAGTCCTTGGTTCAGGTCAATTTAGTTCTGAACAGGGGCCAAAAACTTCAGAACACAAATAACTTCAGTGTAACTGGACAATTTAATTGAGCTCTTCAAATGAACAAGCCCTAAATCTTAAACAGAGCTGATTCAGAAAAAAAAATGTTATGATCATTTGCAAGAATGTTTAAACATATATTCAAGAAATGCACATATGGATAAAACCAGCTCGTAATAGAAAGAAAGCCTGACTGCTTATTAATAGGAGATCCAAAAATTTGAAGTTTAATCCTATGCAATCTTATGTTCTGTTATGCTCAAAGGGACTTATTTGAGAGTAACTGTGTGGAAGACCACACTGCGTATCTCTCAGGACATAAATAAGGAAGTAAAAAGGAAAGTATTTTTTTAAAGACAGGAACTGAACACTGAGAAACACTGTTTTACATTTTGTTTCTGTTTTCATTACATTTGGAAAATTTCTTTTAGTCCAGGACTTCACCCAAATGGGGAATTCATACATGCGTATAAGCTGAACAGTACAGCATGTTTTCTCTGTAAGGGTTGCACATGTTACAAATCATGATACAAATCACAATTTAAATTTAAAATCTTTTTTATTTAAACAGTTTAAAAAACTCTGATTTTTAAAATTTAAACTGTGATTTAAATTAAATCCACTCTGGTTCAGAACACTATATCAAAATGTTAAGATAGTGCAGGAAGATAGTGGCATGAGTGATAGATAAAACTTGAGAGTGTAAATACTTCAGTTGTTTCATTTAACTGATGCATCTGAGCCTGCAGTGGATTTTGCAGTTAGCACACAGTCAGTTTTGTACACTTCTACATGTACATAAGCAAAGTGTATAAATGTGCATGGCTTGGCAACCATCTTTATAACAGAAAAGCTCATGTTGGAACCATTGGAGGAGCCCTTGTTCGTGTTCAAACTAGAGATGCCATGTATGTAAGGAGTTCCTAGATATGACAAAGCATGTATAAAATGTTCCTTCTTCATTTATAATAGTCAGTTAATGAAGATTTACACATAATACTTTGCATCTGGTACAAACAATTCTGTTATCTGACAGTGGGTAATACACAGGAATTAAGAAAAGTGATGTATTCAACTGGACGAAATCCTTTACTCCAGGACAATGCATGCTTTCATGTAATGCAAGATGACTTCACCAAGCACCTCTAAAGACAAAGATGCACTCATCCCCCAAGCAGACAGTTTCTAATTCACAAAGTTATAAATATGGCCCAGACTTTGCAAGCAATTTTAAGGTCAACTTATCTCAACACAGCTTTGCTTTGTGCAATTAGGCACAAATGTTTATTAATTCACTGATAGCAGAGCTTTCTTGCCTTGACTGAGGAAAGAAAAACTGTAAAACATTGTTTTCATATAACCCCACGCAAGGATCTATGCTCATGCAATAAGATTTCTCCTTCCTTTACTTCCCCTACACCCTCCATATTTTCTATAAAGGGTCTGACAACTCTCAAGGAAAGAGCTGAGAGGCTGCAGTGGGGAGTGAGAATCCAGTTTGCACATGGTATCTGTCCTCCCTATAACCCCCCTTCTCAGAACCATGTTCCTTGTAAGTAAAGATACAACAGAGAAACAATTATTTTAAGAAATATGTATCCAAATTTGTGGCAGTATGCTTTCAGGTTTTTCTACAGTCATTATGAACTTTAAATTTGGGGCTTTATATATTTTAATCTTCTTAATATTTTAAATGCAGCTAATGTGCCACTAGGATGCAGCAGAAACTTTTAAAATGGCCTCATGGAGAAATATCAGCATGAAGAAGAAACAGAAGAAAATTTATCAGAACTACAGTACATGAGAGGGGAGATCCTTTTAGAAAAGGAAAATATCTAAAGAAATGATGCAAATGGAGAAAACAGACCTCTAAGGTATTTAAAGTATTTCCTCATTCAGTCCATCATTCTGGTTCCTCTATGCTGCTTGCTGAATTCTCTTGTCGTGGACGTGCAGATACTCAGAATTTTGTACTGTGGCTTAAGGAATCTGACATGATAATGTTTCTATAGAAGTTGTCTGAGTGAGTACTGCAGTACCCCTTCACTTTGTCAATAACCTGGTGAACTGGGATGATTGACGTCTGCTCCGTATCCACCTGGATGTATTTTGGTGAAGGCTTGTCAAGAAAAACATTGTCTAATAAAAAGAAAATGAAAATGGGTATCAGTAATTTGAAAAAGACAGTTTAGTGCTGATGGTCTCCTTAGGCAAATGTCTTTCACTGTGCTAAAAAGGTTAAGGTTCTGTTCCTCTTAACATTTTTGCTTATTAAAGGTATTTTCTCAATAATCCAACTTCATATATCTAATGTATGCATGTTAAAGAAAAAAAAGAGAAAAAAGAGATTTTTCAATTTGCTTTGCATGGGGCAAGAAACTTAAAGGATATTTGGAAGAGGGTTAATTTTACAAAGTGCAGAGAATTTATCTGACTAACTGATTTTTTTCTACAGATCGATAAAAGTCCATAGGTTCAAGCATCACAGCTTCTGACGTGACAGCCTTACTCTGACAGAAAACAGAATTTTCTGTTGACTCCATTTCCTCATTAGTATGTTCACATGCCATATAGGTACTAAAAGCAGATCGATGTTCAAATCTACTATGAATGCTATGGATGAGTGAATGTTTCTGGCATAAATGTTGGGAGATTTAGAGACCAACCTCCTTCTCAATATTTATTGAATTCCTCCCAGTGACTATCCATTAGTGTTCATGTTCATGTTCTCTCAGCTATTCTTCTACAAATTGAATTCCTCCCAATGACTATCCATTAGTGTTCATGTTCTCTCAGCTATTCTTCTACAACCATGTCTTTTCTCTCTTTGCTCCTGGAACTTTGATTCAATCCAATTAGTTAACACATTATGAATATGATGACAATATTCCAATGCAACATAATCAGATTTAAGTATATGGTACACCACAAAGCCAGTTTGAAAAGAGATAAATATTATCTGTCTCGCTTCAAACCAGCTTCAGGATAACCTCACTTTGACCATCAGTTTTAGCTATGTGATATTATAAGCCAATTAATAATAGTAACAGGAAAAAAGCCTCTTATTCTAAACTAATGTTTCCCAACCTTAGATACCCAGATGTTCTTGGACTAAAATTCCAGAAATCTTCACCACTAGCTGTGATGGCCAGGAATTCTGGGAGTTGTAGTCCAAGAACATCTAGGGACCCAAGGTTGGGAAGAACTGCTCTATGCCAGGAAGAAAACCTGCTAAGGCCATACAGTTGCTTACATGGGTTGTGTCTGTAGGGATTGGACATTGTGCAACCATTGTAAAACTGTGCTGTGTAGAGATGAGCATGCTAGTTCACAGGCATGGCACCTGTGGTGCAGTGAGGATGAACTGTCACAAACCTCTGAACTGATTTCATGCCCATCTCTAGTATTCTGCCATTGTCTACTAAATGATTCAAGTCCATTAAAATAAGTGGCATTCGATACTGTATGTATGGTCCCCTGATTTCAGATATTTTAGAATGACTTACTTTCTCTATACAGTGGGGTCTTGACTTAAGAACGGCTTGAGTTAAGAACATTTTGACTTAAGAACCGCTCTCCTAGGAAAATATTGACTTGACTTAAGTACTTAGATTTGAGTTAAGAACTGAAAAAAACCACGTGGGAGGCAGGGAAAGTGCAAAATTTGAACTTTCAGTTAACTGTTGGCCAGTGAAAAGGGTGTCTGTCTGCTTCCTCACTCCTCCCAGCGTTTAGAGAGTGGATTGGGAGACAGTCTTCGGACTGCCTGGTACTGTACTGCCTGGACTGTATTTTCCCTGCCTTCCCTGAACCTTTCTTGACCTAAGAAAAAAAAGAAACAAAATATCCTCCTCTCATGGTCGAAGGCGGAATAGCAGCTTCCCATTAGTTTCTATGGACGGAAAAGAGCAGATACGGATCAAATGGTTCTCAATGCATTCCTATGGGAAATGCAGATTTGACTTGAGAACTTTTTGACTTGAGAATCGCCTTCCAATATGGATTAAGTTCTCAAGTCAAGACCCCACTGTATCATGCTTTTGTACCTTGACTTATAGATTTCAATGTGTGCTGATTTCCAGGAATCTTATCATAACTCCAACAAGGCATGCATCTCCTAAATGAGTGTTTTCATTTCCTTTGTACAAACAGATTGTGGATGAATGACAGAGATTTTCTAACCCTCACTTCTCCTTTCACTTATATATATATCAAATATTTGGTGAAATTTTATATATATATAAAATTCTACCAAACATTTGATAAGTCCTGTAATGTCATTATCTCAAGTTCTGGTTGAAACCAGCTGGAAATTCTCATAATCAAGAATCTGAACAAGCTACTTTGCTTATTGCTGATTTTTATATATTTGCCTGCACAGGATGAAGAAGCACTGCACTTCAAAACAGATCGATGCCAATTCAGACAGAAACAGTAAACAGAATGACCATTAGGTGGAGCTGCAGCAATGAGCAATTATTTCCTTAGTTGAGCATGTTATATTTATGTGTATCTAAAGCCTGTGTAACCTTAGGCGAGCTGCATAATCCCAGGGCACCCTCAGAAGAAGGCAGTGATAGCTTTGAGTATTCTATACCTTGAAAAAAAAATCAAGAAAGCGTTGCCAGAAGTCAGAACTGACTTGATGGCATGTCAATTATTATGTTTATTTAGGAATACATAATCTGACTAATACTGTAAAATCTGATTCTGATTATTTTATTTTATATGACCCAGCATAAGGCTTCTACAATAGTTGCACCTCCTTATTTTAATGGTATTAATTATTTCCTTAATGAAAATAATAATGCATATTTACAAAAAAATAGGTTTAAACAATAAAGATTTTTGTAGCACCCAAGAGATTAAGAAGTTTTTTATTTGGCATAAGCTTTCATTGATTCCAGCCCACTTTTCCAGATACAGTTCTTTAGGCTGGTACTATTATAAGCAATAGTCTATATGAAAGGTAGGCTAGCAGGTCAACAGTATAAATCAAATTAAAAATGAAAGATTCTTAAAAGAACTTATAATACCAAGCTATGATGAAATAGATTTAAAACAGAATGGTTTTGATCTGCAAATGAAGACAGACACAGGTTACATTGAATATTTTGTTAAGTCTCATGGAAGAAAGCACAAACATGCTGAAGCATGTTGGAATGAGTTTCTTTTATATAGCAATGAGTATATGCAGCGACCCATATCAGGTATCTCTTTGCCTTCTGCAAAAACCCAAATATGGCAAGGCCTTCTGGATCAGGCTCAAGGTGTCCTCTGACATTTTCTCTGCTGCTTTTTAATAATGACTTGAGTTTTACATTATCTCTCTTCGTTATGTGTCAGTGCTATGTGAGCTTTTCTAAAACTATAGAAAATAGGCAAAACCAGTTATGACATTTAATGTAGGAAATAAATAGCTTAAGACATAGTACTTCATTTGGCAACACACCATTGCTTGATGCTGGCCTTGCGTGCATCAGAGTTGCACCTCATTGTGTATAGTGAGCTTTTAGAAAATAATTATTATAATATTCCCAAGCCAATGCATGACCAGTGCATACTTGCATTTAATACAGAATAAGATAACAATAATCTTAGAACTGCAGAGCTGGAAGGGATGCAATGTAGAGCATGTAAAAGAAACTGCCTTTTACATGAGCACAAAAATCACAGCCCCTGTCAAGGAGGCACAAGGGGGAATCAAACTCCCAACCTCTGGCTCCGCAGCCACATACACAAACCACTGAATCAGTTTGTAACTGAAAACTACTTCAAAAGGCTAGGAAAAGAAGTGTATGATATCAAAGAAAGCAGTGATTATTTTTGCAATTATTACTAAATTTAATCAATTAGTTTAAAAGTTCATTTTCTCTTTTGTTTTTGCATCCTACTGGCTGAAATTCTGTTGCTTAATATAGTAAATTGCAACCAGAATAGACCTATTGAATTAGTGAAGCTTATGGAGGAGCTGATTCACCAAATCTCCTTTGAGTGAATGGGTATTATCTAGTTGTGTGTTACTACACCAGACAACAGAATTTCAGCCATTAAATAACCCCATGAGAGAGTCTTCTGAGGAATAAATAAAAAACATATACTGGTTTTGTGAAATCCATACGGTACTAATTTTAGAAACTGTTGGAATAAGTTCACACAGCTGAAATTGCAAGCAAATGCCACCAGCTGTCTTGCTTCATGCAGAATATATGGAATATGAATTATTCTGAAGCTGATTTCCATCACCCAAAAGAAGCTTGAATAATTAACATCCATGCATTTGACAGGTAATAAGAATCTGGAGTGTTCTTGATTGCTGAATCATAGTCAGAATGATACAGGAGGTTGCATAGTACAGAATGAAGCAGTATGTATGATTAGCGAGCTGCTGGTGAAAAGTGGAACTTCATGCAAGTATCCTCACAATAATAAATCATGCATTCAGCCAAAGTGTTGGACACTTTACCTTGAATGTTCCACCACTGATGAAGAAATGTTCTTAGAAGACATTATCTATACCACAAACATATGAGCATCTGAGTCAATTCTAGGGAACAGCAATTAGTTTAATAACTGCTATGGAGACATAACACCTACTATATCATTTATTTAAACATTAAATTACCATGTGGTTAAACATTAGCTAGAAATACCAGTCTGAAGGGATCACATAGACAAAGATCATTGCTGAGCAAACAGTATCTAACTTCAGATGGCACAAAAGCATACAAAAAGAATGCATGCATTTAAGAGTTACACATAATTAACTCACTACTACAAGATGCATTTTAAACAGTAGCAACATTGTCCAGGTCATGCCTAGACAATGACTGCTGTGTTTCCCAACCTGGGGATTGTGACCCCCAAGGGGTTTGCAGGTCACCTCATATCTGTTGTTGTTGTTGTTTAGTCATTAACTTGTGACCCACTCTTCGGGACCCCATGGACCAGAGTATGCCAGGCCCTCCTGTCTTCCACTGCCTCCTGGAGTTTGGTCAAATTCATGTTGGTTACTTCGATAATACTGTCCAACAATCTCATCCTCTGTCATCCCCTTCTCCTCCTTCCTTCACACTTTCCCAAAATCAGTTTTTTTCCCCAAGGAAATATCTCTTCTCATGAGACGGTCAAAGTATTGGAGCCTCAGCTTCAGGATCTGTCCTTCCAGTGAGCACTCAGGGTTGATTTCCTTCAGAATAGATAGATTTGTTCTCTTTGCA